CTGTATTTTCTTTCTTTTCTTAAAATTTCTACTACCGGTATAAAAACCGGTATTGAGATCTCAAAAATACCGAATACCGGTATTGAGCTTTTGGTCCGATATTGCAATCCCTAGTCTCCTTATATCCAGTGATATAATTTGAGATTGATCTGATTTTTTATCAACGTCTTACTTACAAGGTACACTAGGGCTATTGGTGATGAGCCTTGTAATTTTAAAATTCGATGAAGTGACGAAGAGGATACTTGAGAGAGAGAGAGCTTATACCTAACTTTTTACCAATTGCCACACACGCCAACGTGAGGACTTTGGGCCTAGACAGATTTAACATACATCAGCCACTCTACACAACAGGCCTTCCGCGGTAGCAGGATGCTAACTTTTGATTTGACTATGCAAACTACGGATTTGTGACCATTACCACTCGGCTATCGCAGCTACATGACATTTTTTGTTGTTATTTTTGCATTTCTTTTTAGAACTAATTATATGTCTGTACTAGAAATAACAAACTTAATTGTAATTTTTTTCTCTTAACCTGTATTTTCCTTCATCGGTACATATACTTTCTTCTTAAGCAGGGCCGTTTTTAACCTCCCAAGTACCCTAGGTACTTCAAATTGTTATGCTTCCCCTCACCTACTGTTTCCAGAGCACCCCTTCCTTTTGTTTTTACCTTGCCAGTTTTGGCTCGAGAGAGAGATTTTCCTTAAACTCTTTTACTCTTTTCCTCTTCTTTGTTTTTGCTCTTTGGATAGTCTTTCCATTATCCATCAACTATGAACTCACCGTATCCCGGACTGACAACCAGCAGCATAAGGAAAGGATATGGCATGGTTTGGCCCATCTTGTTCATTTTTTACCTTGCGGCATCACGGACCACCCACCCTTTTGTGAATTAGTACTGTAAATTTATGAAATCGCTTGCAATTACAGTATAGAGCAAGGATGGTGAAAAAGTGGCACGCGGGCTATTGATGGCACGTGACAAGTTATTTTGGGCAAGCCAGTGATCAAAATGGTTTCAATTTTATTTCAAAATAACTAAGTTCACTATGAAGTATTGCGAACAAACGCAAGTGATCGGTTGCGGTGAGCACACTCGTTCGTTATTGTCTTGCCTTAGTTACGCCGCGCACTACAATTGCTTATGATGCAAAGTTTGTCTACGCATAGGATAGTCAATTTCATTGACAACTATATTTTACAGTTGTGACAAATCTGCACGGAACCTTTCCACTAATATTCTTGGGCGTCTTTTTGGGGATTATAAATTCGCGTACATTTCCAACCAACTCCAAAAAGTGAACGGGATATGCAAAGTAGATAGGGTATTTAAGTAGAGCGTTGTAAGCTAGCAAGTATGAAGGCTATTGAACCAGCAGCAGTAGCCTCAAATTTAGAGGATTCCATTGGATTACGTTAGTGAAGCCTTATTGCTGTTATTCTACGAAAGAACTAGAAAGCTGATATACCAGGCAGTAACTATAATTTATTTACGCTTAAAATAAGCGTTAGTTTAGTAAAATTAGTTAAAGTTAATGAAAGCTAATAATTCGAGTACGTGTATTTCTCGGACCTCCTATTTCGGTAGACCTTATTTGATCTTGCGCATAATTATTGATTAATTTCATAATTTGTAATTTAATTTTAATATTAAAGGCAAAGCCCTTTTTTTGACGTAACATACAAATATTATGTTATTAGAGTTTTTTTGAAATTTAGATTGATATAATAAATACACGTTATTATTATACAAAATGGCTCTTAGTGATTCTTTGCCTCAAATTAATCTTGGTGTCCAGGGTGGAACCCAGGGGGGTCCGCACACAGTTTATTTGTGTTATATTTAGGATTTTTAACTTTTATTTAACATGGCTAGTTCAGCAAAAGAACAAAAAAAGGCAAATTAGTATGTGTAACGGAGAATTTCAAATTTTGTGAATCTAGAAATACGGCATTATTAGTAAAGACGACAAAGCGGTGGGTGTTTTATGTTCAGGAATAGTGGTGTGCAGAATATCCTCTGTAAAACGGCATTTTGAAACAAATCACTCTAATCCTCTTGTCAAAAGAGTAAGCCACAGCAAAAAAATTAATTGCTTAGAAACCGTTTGGCAGTTGACTCCAATTTAGCATGCATTCTACTAAAAGTAACATGTTACAATCCTAATATAAATCATTTGTCATCCAATCTGAAACAACAAAAGTCACATTAATGTTTAACTTAATTTGAGTTACACGTATAACTAAAACCTTTACAACTATACAGTGCAAAAGGCATTTTTTCGTGGTAAACAAAGAGTTTTGTGTTTTGTTAGTATTAAGTTTTATATTATTTTCCCAATTATCACAAGTAAAAATTATTTGATGGCACTTCTATACCTCGTTTAACACTTCTTTTTAAAAAATGGCACGTTTATCCATAAGGATCGCCACCTCTGGTATAGAGTGTACGTAATTAGATGAACTATCAACCCGTTAATTGCCATCGTTTATTGCTTTACTATCTATTACTTTTAGACATCCTTATTCTTTATTGAATCACTATCATCGTACTTGTACAGTAAAAGTTTTCTTTGAGCTTTGATCATAGCAAAATCGTTAATGATATCACTGTAATCAATTTACGATGTAATATTATTTTGAGTGCACAGCAACTTCAAACTGCTAAGCTTTTCGTTTTCCATAGTAGCTGTTTTCCATAGTTCCGCGCTCATACACACACAAACACAACGCATACACGATTCGCTAGGCGGTGGGTTATTCTCTGTAATTTTAAATTTTTTCTCTTTTTTTCTCGTCCCTTCCATTTTTTTTCTTTTTCTTGCGTCCCCAAATCTTTTGCGCTTTATGCACATGCCGAAGCGGAAAAGCGGCTTTGTTCTTAAAAACTGCTGAAGCTTGACTCTATCTTCTCTTGTAAAAATAAATAAAAATATTTTTGCTTAATAAAGGCTTAATGTAGGGTTGTTTGTTTCCCAGGGTGCAATTTTCTAGCTGTAAACCGTTTTGTGTGAGCTCAGTTTCCTTGGGTATTCCATCAGTCCCCCTCGTGTTTCTTCGAAATGAAAAGAAAATTAGCAACCGACCAATCTCTTTTTCGGGGAAAAGGAAATTATTTTATGTTACGCACACCAAGCAATGAAGATAACACAAATGTAGAAATAATTATTTTACAATCGAGAGTTCGAATTATTCGAACGTCGATTAATAGAGCGTTAATTAAATAGAGCGTCGATTCAAGACGACTAATAACAGTTTATTGGTGAATGTATTGTTCTCTATTAACAATCATGTACAGTAGTGCACTCAGGAATTTTTCAAAGGGGGGGGGGTCCAAGACCGAAAGTTCACCATTCTTGTATCATGCTCCTTTTGATTTTGTCGATATTCGGGAACAAAGCACAGTAAAAAACTAATTATTGAATAAATAATTAGCATTAATTAATAAAATTAAACATTAATAACAAATAATTAAATTTTGCGTACTATAAACATAGAACTATAATCATTCGAAGAAAAATCAAGGGCTTTGGAGGGGGTTCGGACCCCAGGACCCCCCCTTGTGTGCGCCACTGATCGTGTATAACAATTTCTTTAAAAAAAATACTAAAATATCAAATTATTCTTGAATGCTATTATGATGGCTATTTACGTATTTCACACATTTTTCTCTCGTATATTCCATGAGTAAAATTCCTGCAATTAAATGATTTCATAGCCTTGCACTTTGACTAAAATACAAAATATAATAATTTCTTTAATGTCCTTCTACAGAGGCGGAAAATGTTTTGCTTTAAGTAATGAAAAGGTGCAATATAACTACACGATAATGAAAAGAAATAATGGTAATAAAAAATTATGTAAGCAATTTGTGTGTGTGTGTATTTAAGTTTATTAAGTTCTGTAACGGTTAAAAATTACCAGAATAGCAAGTCTTGAGTGGGCCCTGCATCAAAATTTTTTGGAGGTCCTTTTTCAGAAATGGGGGCTCGATTAAAATGAGACTATTGATAAGATTTTACGATTTTTTACCCACATCCCAGATCCATCAAGCGGCCCGTGCCGCTTGAGGGCTCCCTACCATTGATACGGCTGACACAGCGGTAGCTATGCCTCTTTTAAAAATGTAAATGTAGTTACTGTATTTTTTAAATATTTTTATAACTAAATACTTTTTGTTGTTGTTAACTTTTAGTTATTTTACATAATATTTTTAGAATCATGCTTGTAAATATAGGAACAATTTTTTATGGCTTTTTTGCTTTACCAAATTGGAACAATCCAAATAATGACATATGCTAATTTGCAACGTTCTTACTGAAGCAGTTAAGCCTAACGAATAAAAAGTGAGATTTTTAATTATTATGCAATTTTACTATTCATAAATGATAAAGGATTAACAGTTCTAGTTTTAGTTCAAGTAAGAGAAAAATGCTTCATTTCCTAGTTTTGTGTTCTAAAAATATTTGATGATCTAAAATTGTATTTAACAACGAAAAGTGTCTCATTCTTTTGAAATGTAAAATTTAACACTTTTCAGTTCCTACTATTAGTTCCCTCTCTCTCCATATAAATGTATATATCTTTTTCGAATTTTCATTCGTTAAAAAAATACTCAAATTTTTCTGGCAATGTCCATGGGAAATAGACCTGGGGTAGACCCCCTATAAGAGGGATTGACTGTGTTGAAAATGACTTAAAAATTTTATAGGTCAAAAATTGGAAAAACAATTGCCAAAAGTAGGGATGCCAGGAGAAGGCCAGGGCCCACCCAGGTCTGTCGAGTCATTGAAGAGAAAGAAAAAAAAAACTTTTCATTCACACATGCATTCAAGTCCAAATACATTTTTTTTAATTTGCAGTGGATGACACTTGATGTTAATACTTGTTTTTTTTTTAAATATTAATTCATTAATTAAATTAAAAATGAATAAATAGTAACAAATAAAAATAATAGTCCAACAGCATATATAGAAAGGAAAACCGTTCGTCGTGTCTCTGTAGCGCAATGGCTAACGCGTTGGACTTTCAATCCGAAGGTCGTGGGTGCGAATCCCACCTGGGATGGCCTAATTTCTGAGAATGTGATTTCTTTCACCATACTATTTTATTGGAATAATTAAATTTAATTAATGAATAAATAGTAACAAACATAAAACTAGTCCAACACCCTATATTGAAAGAAAAATGGAAAATTAAAAGGAAAATCGCTTTCTCTTTTGTCATTTAATATCATGATTATGTCATTCGAATATACATATTTATAATAATTATAACTATTTCATAAAAATTAACTAAAATAATTTTTTTTTTGTTGACCTAAGTAGGGGGGGGAATTGACTTAAAATTTGTTTTATATTATTTGTTATATTTATTGTATATGTATTCTTGATCCTGCAGTCCAATGATTTCAAAACATTTCGTTGTATCTCTTCAACGATAAGATAGAATAATTTCTTAAAACATTGTCCCGTAAATACTTAGCGATATTTTTCTTCCGTAAAGATGCGGTAACTGCATACACAGAAAACACAGAACATAACAATACAAATATAAAAATATATGTTCATGTAGCGAAAATAATTTTAATTTAAATTCCTTTTGCACTCCAATCAAAGTTTAAAAGTCGAAAAAAATGCTTATTTTTCCATTTACAAGTCTATTTCATTTAGTCCACTGACATTATACTTTCAATTGATAAAGAAAGTTTGAAAAAATTATTTAATTGAAATATTGCTGTGCACACATTTCAATAATCATACCAAGTAGGAAAAAGCAACTTTTTAACCTTACTGTCATTTTATTTTATTTTGTATCAATTAAGTGTTGATTTAAATCCCGATGAGTCAATACAGAGGGATAATAATGTTACTTAACAGTCAGATATGTATAAAAGCCGCAGTTTGCCACACGGCAGCCTAGTGGCGATTGATTGATTGATTGAATCTTAACGTCGCACTGTTCAGCTGCACGAGAGCTTTTGGTGACGTACCACGTAATTTTGAACCATGGTCAAGTAACGTGGACGACATCTGAGCTGGCACCCCCCCCCTCTCCTAACTACCACACCACACCAACGGGAAGACGTTTCAGCTCTCGACAGATTTAACGTGCATAGCCTAGTGGCGAAGGTAACGGACTCGTGGCCGGCGTGTCATGAGTTCGAGCCTAGTACCACTGAAGACCCTCCTTGTAGGGGGCAATGAATGTTAAATCTGTCGAAACTCAAACGTCCTCCCGTTGGTGTGGTCCGGAAATTAGGAGAGGTAGATGCCATCTCTGGTGTCGTACTCGTCACTTGATCATGATTCAAAATTACGATGACACTCACCGAAAGCCCTCGAGTAGTTGAATAGTTCCACATTAATATTTACTTTTTTCGATCCTTGACAATTCCTTGATTCTGCATTCATAGAAATTCTAGTCCTTATCCACACAAAAACTCAAATTAGGGCGGTTTGAGGTTATCATTATTTATAAAATGTTTACCTGTTAACAAGTTTTGTAGACTTCGAAATAAATGATAATCCGATGGTGCAAGGTTGGGGCTATATGGGGGATGCCCTATCACTTCCCAAGAAAGCACTAATAATTTTGTTCATGTTGCTAAAGATGAATGGTAAAGATGCATCATGCTTGAACCGTGATTTTTTTTATTAATATAGTAGACGATTCATTTTTCATCAACGGTGTTAAATGAATTTATTTTTTCAATTAGTGCTAGCGGAACCCAAATATCAAGCATCTTATGTAATTTTCAGTTGTTGTGTGTCTTTATCAGCTATCATTTATCTTTTCTGCAACCTCTCGCACAGTTACATCACAAATCGATTCAACTAGGGCTTTCATTCTGTCATCATTAACTTCAAAAGGTTGACCAGGACATTGGTCATTTTTAAGAGTAAAAACCCCTGAACGAAGTTCTTTAAACCAATTCTGACATGTGCGTTCTGTTAACCAATCAGCACCAAGAACTTCACATATCTCTTTTTAAACCTCGGCCTCTATCTTGCCTTTCTGAAAATAAAAAAGGAAAATAAGTCAAAAATATTAGTTTTGCACTTCATGTTAAAATTGACCGTAAATTATAAAAAAAATTACACGGAGAATTAGTTTTTACAGTAAACATTTTTTAAAAAAAATTGCGCTCGCTATATTACAATAAACTAAAATTGTCAATTACCAAACCTCCAAAGAAAAAATATATATAACGTTATAGAAAAATAACGAAACAAACCAAACTAAATTTATTTGTGTAAACTGAAAAAACTGTCTTGCAAACCTAATGCAAAGAGAAAAATAATAATAAAAAAAACATTAATGCGCATTGAATAAGATGATATCGAAGAGCAATTTTTGAAACGCACATTGCCATTTCTTTTCCATTTCTTTCTTTTCTCTAAGAACTAAATTGCTTCGTTACAAAAGTCTTATAAGATCTGTCCTGACTTACGCATCAGAGACTTGGCCATTGACTTTACGTGATGAGAAAGCTTTGGGGATTTTTGAGAGAAAGATCTTAAGCTGCATTCTTGGTGGGATCCAAGTGAATGAATCATGGAGGAGAAGATCTAACTTAGAACTCCACAAAATTTACAAACAACATAATATTGTAAAATTTGTCAAATTACAGAAATTTAAATGGACTGGTGATCTGGCTAGAATTAATGAAGATCTCGCTGCCGCAAGAAAATCTTTCTGGCAATGCCCATGGGAAATAGACCTCGGGACAGACCCCATTAAGATGGATTCACTATGTCGAAAAAGATCTAAATATTTTAAAGGTCAAAAACTGGAAAACTGTTGTCTAAAGTAGAAATGCATGGAGAAGGCCAGGGTCCACCCAGGGCTGTCGAGTCATTGAAGATGAAGAAGAAGCAATTTTAGAAACCCACTTTGCCATTTTAAATAGTTTTAGTGTGAAAACTCGAACCCAGCCTTCATTAAGGTATCCGACTACGTTTCGAACCATGATTTTGAAAAAACGCACAAATGGATAATTTTCATGATATTTTGTGTCACTTAGATTAGAATACATGTATAAAATTTTTTTAAGGACATTGTGACAAAAAAAAATATTTAAATACAATATTTTGGAAAAAAATGAACTTAGAATAACCTTTTTTCAAAGCGTTCTCCTTTTATGAAAAAAAAAAAAAAATGCTACTATAATAATAAAATTTTGCTTAGATCAAGTAAAGACTTTCCCAGTGAGTCTGAACTTGGATTTTTGAAAAATTCACATTATTTTCAGAGTTACCACCAATTGAAATAATTATCGGCGTTTTTTTCTTAAAATTTCTTTCCTCTGTTATAGAAAAATATGGATAAATCCACTTCTATGTTATATATTTCAAAAATTCTAGTTCAGCCTCTGTACAGAGGTTTGAACTATATACAGGTAAAATATTATTATAAAAGAAGCATTTTCCATAAAAAGAGAATGTTTTGAAAATATGTCATTCTATGTTCATTTTTTGTCAAAATATTGTACTTAAATAATTTTTTATTATAATAATTTTCTATAGGTTTTCTAATCTGAGTGACACTAAATATCATAATTACTATCCATTTATACGCTTTTGTAAAATCACGGTTCCGAACGCAGTCGGATACCTTCAGACAGATTTGATACCAATGGGAAGAATTGTTGGGGTGGGTGAAAGGAGGTTTCAAAATAGAAAAAATAATAATAATTCAAGAAATAAGAATATAAAGCGGTAGAATGTTTCCCCGAATCACCTTCCTTACCGCGAACACTGCTTATTTTAATTTTAAAAAATTCAAGTAACTCTAAGATAAATGCTTAAAAATAATTTAGCTACTTTTAATCGTCGGTCCAATTTACTATTAATAATTAATCAACACATATAGGGACAGCCTTAAAAGAAAAATGGCTGTTTTATGATTAATTAAAACGAATGATGTTTACACATAGTTAGAGAATATTAAATTATACAGAGACTATTTTACGACCCTTTTAATCTGTCTTTATTAAAATGTATTTTATTTTCCCGATATTTACGCAACGAACTATTTAATTGTTTTGTGATGATAATCTTCTCACTTAAGTATTATAGTTATCCCGAAAGGTTATTCCTGCACCACATATGCTTTAACGAAATACATCTGTTCAAAACTTTTTTATTTTATCAAATTAAATTTAATTAATTTTATCAAAATCCATGTCCTAATTATAAAATTCGAAAAACGTTTCGTAACTGAACATGCTTCTTTTTTCAAACAGTTTTGAAACGGTTGATTTAAAAAAAATAACAGCTTCTTAGAAAGCAATAACAAACAGGGAAAAATAGTGAAAGGAGCTTCTAAATATCACCATTTTGAAAATGAAAAATAAAAAAAAAATTCTAGAACTGTTTAATATGTGTTCATTCCTATACCATTAGTCAATTAATATGCTTTCTGCGAGACATAATTAAAAAAAGAACAGATAAAGTGGCATCTCTGTAATGATAATAATTTGATTCATTGCAGGATTACATACCACATAACGATTGAAAAACAAGATGAAAAAAAAAAAACTTTTTTCACAGGAAAAGAGGTAAAATTTCATGTTTATAGCTTAATACGACTTAAGAAAGATAGAAAATGCAAATAAATCTCGTATAGAATGGAGCATGACTGCATTATGATTAAAAAATGAAAGGATAAAATATTATCTAAAGAATAATTAATGCCAGATAAGTAATTTGATGAAATTCGATTGCGTATGAAGATAGCGTATAAACAGAGAAAGAAAAGAAAGAATAAATTCTAATTTTCAAAGAATTGGGATTCGTTAACACACACACACACACACACATGGTGCAAGAATAAAACGTGAGAAGATAATGATTTCTGTTATCAAATTTAATGGACAGTATTACAGAAAACTATCGTATTTTCACGTAAAATAAAAGGAACTGTACTGGAATATGAAAAGGAACAACGCGTGTTTCTTCTAGTCCTTTTACACGAAGAAAATATTAATAAAAGAAATTATATTACATACATATTTAGTTTAGAAAAATAATTTGTGTTAAAGCACCTCTCAGGTATAATATTGC